TGTGTGTGTGTGTGTGTGTGTGTGTGTGTGTGTGTGTGTGTGTGTGTGTGTGTGTGTGTGTGTGTGTGTGTGTGTGTGTGTGTACGCACGCGCGCAGACCCACTCAGACAAACCACCAGGAACAGGCTTTATTCTGTAAAAAAACATAGAACAGGATCACAGTTCAGCAGCCCCTCCTCTCAGCATGCAGCCGGTGCACTGCTTCTAGCACAGACCCTGCTGTGAGACTCTGCTGGGGGCAGAGGGCACATGCTGGCAGGAACCAGGAAGTTCTCCCAACATGCTGCAGTTTGTAGTCCACAACTTGTAGTTCCCAAGGCTACTGCTGAAACACATTTAGGGTTGCCAGGTGTCCGGTTTTGAACAGGACAGTCCAATATTTGAGCTTTTTGTTCAGGAAACAAATTGAGAAAATATAAATTTCCAGTATTTTCTAAATAAGATGTAATGTAGATTGTGATGTAATGTCAAGTGTGTCCGGTATTTTTGTTGAAACCATCTGGCAACCCTAAACACACTGGACCTTGGGCTACACATATATTGTATGTACATCATATTCTTCACCTATTATTGCTGTCCCCAATTAGCAATAAACAGCAATAAAGACTTTTCTTTCATCCCTGTGATTTACTCCACTCATCCCCATTAATCTCCAGATCCTTCCCCCTCTTCTCCCCACTGCTCCCTGCCATGGCCCCCTCTCCCTCTCTTCTCCCCACTGCTCCCTGCCACAGCCCCCTCTTCCCCCCACTATATGTGTGTGGTGTGTGTGAATGCGTGTCTCTGTGTGGGTCTGTGTGTGTGTGTGTGTCTGTGAGGTATGTGTGTTTGTGTGGGTCTGTGTGTGCATGTGCACGTATGTGTGTGCATGTGCGCGTATGTGTGTGTGTGTGTGTGTGTGTGTGTGTGTCCATTCAGACCCTGCTCACACAGCATGTCTCTGGGGTCAGGACACACCTGGCTGGACATTTGCAGGCGCACTCCTGAGTAGATCATTGCCAGAGCGGTTAGAGCTGGTGACTGCGTAGAAAGACGTGACTCAAGCCCTGTGTTGCTGGCAATTTAATTGGTAAGCAATACAGGAGGAGTTGAGAGCAGCCGTCAACTACCTGAAGGGGGGGTCCAAAGAGGCTGGAGAGAGGCTGTTCTCAGTGGGGGCAGATGGCAGAACAAGGAGCAATGGGCTCAAGTGGCAGACAAACTGATTCCCTAGGAGGTGGGGAAGCGCTGGGCTGGGTTCCCTAGGGAGGGGGTGGAGTCTCCATCCCTGGAGAGTAAGTTCCAGCTGGACAAAGCCCTGGCTGGGATGATGGAGTCGGGGTTGGTCCTGCTTTGACGCGGTGACTCTCGAGGTCCCTTCCCGCCCTCGGATTCCCGGAATTAGACCCAAACGGCGAAGGGTGCGGGGAAGGGCTGCGACATACAAGCAAAGTGACCGGGGCTCGGGCAGACACGAGGCCGGCGAATGCTCAGGGGAGAGCAGGTTCCCAGCACGTCTATTCCAGACCGTCTCTTTCTAACATTGGTTCAGGCCGCTGATGCAGGGCGGGGCGGGGGGGGGAGGGACAATTGCCCCAGCACCTGGTGATTCAAAAGGACCTGGGGTTCCCAGCTACTGAGCTGCTACTGAGCTGGCACCTGTCGCCCCAGGCCCTTGAAACTGCAGCTGGAGCGCTGCGTGGGGCACTCCAGCTGGCGTTGAGGGCAGGGCGGGACATGCCGCGGGCGGGGCGGTGCTGAGGGATGGCTGCCCCTGACCCCGCCCCTTTCACCTGAGGCCCCGCCCTTTCCACCCGAGGCCCCGCCCCTTCCAGGAGCATGCCCCGCCTCCCTCCATCTTGCCCTAGAGCAGTGGTTCCCAAACTTTTTGGCATCATGCCTCCCCTTTTTGATTTTTAAAAAACTCTCACCCCCTCCCCCAAATAGCAGCAAAACTTGCTGAGCAAAAAAAAAGAGGGACTGAACAGGGCAGCAAAACTTGATGGGGGGAAGCTGGGTCACCTCACGCGCCCCCCAGTTTGGGAACCCATGTCCTCGGGCCTGGGGAAGCTGTTGGCTCCCCTGCATTGGTCTTCTTTGGATTATAAATGCTCAGCTCCAGGAAGAGGTCGATCTGGCTGTACAAGCTTTGCTGCACAGCCAGGGCCGCTGGAAGTGTGACCCGGCCACGCCCCAGTTGGAGAAGCGTGGGGTTAGTTATGTGTGTGCTGCATTGGGGGCAGGCCTGCGGTCCCTTACCCATGAGGGGCTCCCGCTGGTCCTACCCCACTGGCGCATGGACCTCTTGTGCATCCGATTAGGTACCTCCGAGATTTCCCGGCCTATTGCAATGGGTCATATTGAGTGAGAACCCTCCCAAGAGCCGGCTGCCCGTCAATGTACCATCCCCACCCCCGGATTCGTAGTAGCCGGAGGAACAGGAGGAGCAAGGCTGACCCCAGGACAAACGGGGGCAGACCGGGTGGGGTATCGGGCAGTCATGCTCTGGATTCTGCAGCAAGAACAATTCCACCACTCAGCAGGGAGTCTGGGAAGTAATCCCATGATACAGAATTGCACCACCAGGGAGGAGTAGTTAGCCCGGATTAAAACCGGTTTCAGCGAGTGACTATTATACACCTCGGCTGTAGCAAGGCTTTGGCCGCAGCCCCACGTGGCGTTGGGTGAAGCAAGCAGGAGCAAAGCAGGCAAAGTTGTTGACTCGAGTCCCACAACTTGAACTCGAGTCCGACTTAAGTTGCCTAGGCGACTCGACTTGCGGGTTCATTGTTTAGAACATAACATAAGAACATAAGAACGGCTGTATTGGGTCAGACCAAAGGTCCATCTAGCCCAGTATCCTGTCTGCCGACTGACCAGCACCAGGTGCCCCAGAGGGGGTGGACCGAAGACAATGATCAAGCGATTTGTCTCCTGCCATCCCTCTCCAGCCTCTGACAAACAGAGGCCAGGGACACCA